ATTGAGATCAGGGCTTTGTGATGGCCACTCCAAAACATTCACTCTGTTGTCCTTAAAGCACATTTGAACTAATTTGGCAGTATGCTCAGAGTCATGGTCTGTTTGGAAGACCCATTTGTGGTCAAGTTTTAATTTCCAGGCTGATGTCTTGAGATGTTGCTATTTAACCAGCCTAGGCTGGTTTAAGCTGGATTTTTCAGCAGGGACACCACATGAACTACCACGACCAGAATGCATCAAACAACACCTGCTGCAGCTACTCAGTAGGTACTGCATTTGAATTTAAACATACTACTCAGCCGTTAGAAAAGTACGTTTTATAAAGTATGAATGTGAAAAGTATGAATGGACTTCGGACGTACTACATCCCCCATTTTGTCATGGTCACGCGACCTACCCCGTCAGTTGCGTCGCTTCACTCCCAGTCATGAATTTACTGGCGGGGCATCATGGGATGGCGCAGCGTGCATGGGATGCGCACTCCAGAATCTTACCGGAAGTAGTAAGTCATCTGGGTACTTCTCGCATACTGATTTTCGAATTCTATGAATTCGGAAAAACTACTCGGCTCACCTACTGATTTTAGCGTACTGTATAGTATGGAATTGAGCAGTTTCGGACACACCCACCACCATGATAGTCATCACCTTGACTATATTTTTCAGTTTGTCTGCCCCTCTTATTTTCTTTTGTTTGCGTTGTATGTGTTTCTGGTTTGTTTTGCTTTAGTTTGTTTCGTTTTGGTATAGTTTATTCATTAAATGTTTAAATGCTGCGTTTGGATCAGCTCTTTGTTTTTTCCTCCTCTGAACTTTACACTAGATGGTAACAATTATAGTATTCTGTCTCATACTGTTTAGTTGATCAATGACTGAATGACAGTAAGATAAGAACTTTCCCACAGAGATAAGGGGTTAAGATAGTATCAAACTTGTGCATGCATTGGGGTGTGTGTTTCTTTTTGACTAAGAGCCAGAAGAATGTAAGTTTCTCAATTCCCCCTCTACACAGTGGAGACATTTTTTGGGTGCTTTCCACTTTTTGTGACACAATGATTAAAGCTTCGTTGAGGCATTATGACATCACTCGGGTATAGTAAATCGACTGTGTACAGTTATATTGATGTATTGAAATGTCTAGCTGTGCTGAAAGTTCATGAAGATCTGAAGGCTGCCACCGAATGCCAGAACATTCCATCAAGGCTCATCAGCTTTATGCGCCGCTTTGCCTAGGTTTGCCAATACAGCACTTAGGTCTGAATAACATATCCAAAAAACATTTACAGGGCTATCAAGTCTCACCCATTCACAAATGACAGTTAGCAAGGTTACAAAAAAAAATTCTCTCTACAGATATTTTTCTAGATTTGAGAGCTCTGGCCTTTAAAGTAAGCAAGTTTGTTTTCCCAACGAAATCTCACGTCAGTTTGTTACTTTTTGATTTAGTTGCTCATCGGTATGAGTTCATACAATCAAATTTGTACAATTTGCTCATCACCTAAAGGCGATTGGGTTTAGGGGTGGGGTTGGGTGCCACGCCTCATTTTTAAAATCGTGCATTGTCATACGACTGAACTTGTACAAATCAACCACTAAACTGACAAAATGTAACCCACTAACATTTTCCTGTGAGATCAGGCTGTTTTTTTTTTCTTAAAACAAGCTACATAATCTGCCATTAGGGTATGTAAAATAATTTCGTTTTGAAATAATTGGCAGATTATTTAACTTTATTTGGTACGAACCAGGGCGACGCAGTGGGTAGCACGTTCGCCTCACAGCAAGAAAGTCGCTGGGTCGCTGGTTCGATCTGTGTGGAGTTTGCATGTTCTCCCTGCGTTCGCGTGGGTTTCCTCCGGGTGCTCCGGCTTCCCATACAGTCCAATGACATCTGGTACAGGTGAATTGGATAGGCTAACTTGTCCGTAGTGTATGAGTGTGTGTGTATGTGTGGATGTTTCCCAGAGATGGGTTGCGGCTGGAAGGGCATCCGCTGCATAAACCTTGCTGGATAAGTTGGTGGTTCATTCCGCTATGGCGACCCCAGATTAATAAAGAGACTAAGCCAACAAGAAAATGAATGAATGAATGAATGAATGGTACGAACCAGTACTGGGTCCGTGACGTCATTGACTTTCGGTTTAAGATTTAAAGGGCCAGCATTGCACCAGACCCCCTTAAGTGGTTTCGTTTGAAAATGTAGAATCTATATTTTATGCACATATGCATCACTTTGGTTTTTATTCTACTGTATAAAACTTATTTACACTTAAATACACAGTATTTTGGATACCCGAGCTGGGTATTTCACATTGGTTCATTTATTTATATTTTTCATATGACACATGTACAAGTTATAGCTCAAGTGAAAGCTCTTGCCAGTGCTCATACAGTTCTAGCATTGATTTACTAAATTATATTCACATATTAAATAGTTTATGAATAAATTGCGATGTTTTATATATATATATATATATATATATATATATATATATATATATATATATATATATATGTATATATATATATATATATATATATATATATATATATATATATATATATATATATATATATATATATATATATATATATATATATATATATATATATATATATATATATATATATATATATATATATATATATATATATATATATATATATATATATATATATATATATATATATATATATATATATATATATATATATATATATATATATATATATATATATATATATATATATATATATATATATCATTGTGTGCAGTGGTGGACAACAGCAGTGATGGGAATAACGGCATTCTAAATAAACAATGTTACAAACGACAATACTTTGTTTTTATGGGTTTGTGTGTGTGTGTGTGTGTGCGTGTGTTCAGGTTTGGGGTGGAACATTGCTTGTTTTAAGAAAAAACTTAATTTTGACA